CTTGGTCCAGATGGATGTCACTCTCATTTATGTTACTAGCAGGGTCTGTGTACAGCCCTCTAAAATACTTCTTCCAACCTTGAATACTTGAGCAAGGTATTTAGTGATTTTCCTGGTCCTTGGTGGTTTGCCAGAAAAAGGAAGAAATGCCTCCTTCTGGCTGATTGAATTGTTTCTCCTTCACTACCAATCTTTTTCTCTTTCTCTTTCCCTTCCCTTCAGGCCTTGAATCAAGCCTTTAAAATCTGTAGGGAAGTTGGTTCTCATAATAAAAATGTTTATTCAACCTACATCTTGCTAAAATAGAAAAATGACAGCATGACCACCAGATGGATTTCTAACTGACTGATTAATTGCACACATTGTATATCCCTCACATACCTACACAGAGGGAAACATGCAGAGGGGTACCCCAAGGTTTTGTTTTAGGCCCAGTACTCTTCAGCATCTTCATTTTACTTTTTTCAAAGTGAATGTCCAGAATATATGGCTTAGCTGGAGCTTCTGCAGAAGCCTTAATGGAAGTGGTGAGTCCAGGTTTGTATTTTTGAATGAAAGCCTCAAAGTGCTTTTTTCAACAATTCTAGGTCTTATTTTATATCTTCAAATAAGGAAGGCATTGCTTTGCCATAAACTCTGCTGAATTTTCCCAAGGGAGCTGCCAGAGTTGTGGGTGCTCCATTGCTAGAGGTTTTCAGGAAAAGATTGGAAACCATTTGTCCAGGATCATATAAGAGCTCCTGCCTTAGACAGAGATTGGACTAGAAGATCTCCAAGATTCCCTCCAATTCTATGGTTCTATTATAATTATCCCTTATCAGCTATTTGTGACGGTACAATGACAACTAATTCAGCAAGATTCTGTCTTTCTTCATTCTCTTTAATTTATATATTAATAATATTGTTTTTTTAAGTTAAAAGTTGATGAAAGGAAAATGTTTTTCATCATGCTGATCCTTATTTTAAATACAGTTGGTCTGTTTAGATTACTATCAACTGGGGCCAATATTTCAGAAATTCTGTAACAGTTAATTATGAGAATGGTAAAATTCTAGAATTTGGCTAAGAGTGCATAAGAACACCTGACTACTAGGAAAATGTGTCCTTTAGCATGTATTTTTTTAATGCTACTTTATTATTTTTAGCTTCATGAAATTGTTGCATCCATTTCAAAGCATAAAAAGTAAAAACTACCTGCTACTAAATATAGTTCTGACATTTCAGTACCCTTCTGATATGCACTAATTATTAAATTTGCTTGTTGTACATCTTTTATTGAATCTGAATTCTCTTTTCTTTATAGAGATGAGATATGGGGGATTTCTGAATTGAATAACACAAGTTCATTCATGACATTCTTACACAATTAGAATTTTAATTATCTTGGATTGTGAAGTAGTACCAGTGAAGGTTGAGGATTTGCATGGATTGCAGCTAGATAATATGCTAGCATTTTAAAAAAATATAGTTTATATATCATAAACCTTTCCGAAGATTGTGAAATTTAAACTTAATACTCCAGGTACTACCCCATTTTACCATTAGCTAGCACTTCATTTAATGTGAAGAAATGTTTGTTTTATTTCCATTTCACTTTTATTATTTTTACAAATAACTCAAGGCAACAAACATATTCAACACTCCTTCTTCCTCCTATTTTCCCCACAACAACTCTGTGAGATGAGTTGGATGGAGAGAGAGTGACTGGCCCAAAATCACCCAGCTGGCTTTCATAGTTAAGGCAGGGCTGGAACTCATGATTTCCCACTTTCTAACCTAGTGCCTTAACCACTTTTTAGATGAATTACATTGGTATTTCTTAACAGATGTCAACAAATCAGTGTTTGTTGACAAAATGTTGCTTCATGAGAGTCCCCAAGATGGTTTTCTGACTCAGTAGGATTTCCCCCCTCCCTCCGCTGACAGAAAACTGGTTTCACATCCAAATAGCAATAGCAATAAGACTTATATACCACTTCATAGTGCTTTACAGCCCTCTCTAAGTGGTTTACAGAGTCAGTATATTGCCCCCAACAATCTGGGCCTCATCTTACCAACCTCAGAAGTATGGAAGGCTGAGTCAACCTTGAGCCTGGTGAGAATCAAACTGCCGAACTGCTGGCAGTCAGCAGAATTAGTCTACAATGCTGCATTCTAGCCACTGTACCACCAAACTGGGTCTTTGGCAGCATACTCCTTAGTTGTGAACAGGAGCTACTAGGAATGACTCAATATTATTCTTGGACAACCATGGACCTATCTGAGAAGAAGACCTAGAACGTAACAATTCTAGATGGGAGTGGTTGGAGAGTCGAGTCTCCATCTTTTCCTTTCCACTGTCTGCTTTTTAAGAACATCTGGGGTTTAGCTGTCCTTTTCTTTCTTTCTTCTGATTTTTATTTTCAAATGTTAATCTACTGGTTGAATGCTGATTTAATTTAACCCCCATACTGGATCTTAAAGTGGCTTCTTTTTTATATTCTTTTTATTGTTTTATTAGCTGCTATAAACCAATTCTGCCTTTTCGACATGGAAGCTGGGGCATCTCTGCATAGTGAAAGACATACGTTTTGATTTACATCAGTATCATACTTTCACTGCAGGGATTTTGTGTGTTATAAATTTATATAAAAAACTCTGATCTGTGATGAAATAATTTTTTTCTACAATTGAGGGAGATTAGAGTTAATGGTTTTATTATACCCATTGATTTTGCTTGTCAGAAGGTAGCAAGAGGTGGAGACATGACTCCAGGACACCACAACCATCATAAATATGACTCAGTTGCGAAGCATCTGAATTACAATTACATGACCATGGTGTGAAAGCTATAAGTGTGAAAAATGGTCATAAGTCACTTTTTAAGTGCTGTTATAACTTTGAATAGTTACTAAATGAATGGTTGTAAATCAGGGACTACTTGTAGTTCTGGTGTGCTCTCATGAAGAGGAACTATAGCCTAGTTAAAGAATTTTCATCTGTGGATCATCCTTAGACCATGGTGAATATCAGAAAAATGGGCACCTAATTCCTAAGGAGGAGGTTATATAATGCAGAATCTCACAAGGAATGCAAGAACTCTCTGAGATAATCAGAAAGATGGTTAACTCTTTGGATAAACTGGGATAATATCCTGGGGTATTAAGTGGGTCCTGCATACAACACTTCTGTGCTATGTATATCCAAGTATGGGTCAGTGTTTGAAAGCGACTGTAACTTGAGAAATAAAGTATACTTTCCATAAAATATAAGAATATACAATATTTTGTTCTAGCAAGTTGTTAGAGGACAGGCTGCCTGAAATTAGCTACCGGTAGCACTGGACCAATGGTGCCCTGCCCTTTTAAGACCTTGTCCTAGCCAGCCCACCTGCTTAGCAAACAGCAGCTATAAAAGCAAAGCAGCTGGGTTGGTATGATACTGGTGATGGTTGTTGTGGGACATTTGGTATTGAAGGGTTCTCGAGTAAGAAGCGTTGTAGGATGGGATAGTGCCCAGGTGGGCAGGCCCAGCCTCTAGTTGGAACTACCGATTCTCCCGAACCGGTCCAAACCGGCCGCAGCCCACCTCTGCTTCTGCCTTAGATATGTCTTTCTCTTTCCATTTTTTATATTGATTCTTTTCTTCCCTTACAATCTTTTTGGATTGTTGCCTTCTGGCAGAAGATACAGAACAATTAAAACTCGGACCACACGTTTTCTGAATAGTTTTTATCCCAGAGCTATAATTGCACTCAACAATGAACTAAAGGGCCACCATCGGTGAGCTGTTTGACAGTATTACTTGGTCTGTTGTGTGGATGTTTGGGCGGTTTAGAGGTGGAGAATTGTGATGGGTGGGAGTGTGTTCAGTGATTGTTATGTGTGTTGGACCTGGTCTTTGGGTGTTAAGTGAATTTCATTGTAAGGGTATACTGTGTATACACGTACAATGACAATAATGTTTTTTTATTATTTTTTTTTGTCTTTCAATTTATCAGACAGTTCATTGTGGAAATTTGCTGGTTTCTTCTTGGACATCTTATTTTTCTTTTTCAATGTTATTGTGCTGGACTGTGGTTCTATAATAATATTTTTCATATTTTTATAGAAGGTGTAAGATCCAAAGATTTGCTTTACTTAATGCATCTATAGTAATTTTTCAGTATCTGCTAAGCTCCTTGGTAGAGTACCATTTTTCACCTCGATTCACATTATAGCATCTAAAATTTCAAATTAATCCTCTTTTTATAACAATCAACTCATTTGGAATATTTATTTTTATTATAAACCTGAAACAAAGAAGAAACATGATTAAATTATTTAGTGACAAATTATTTAGAAAGTAATTGTAGCAGAATTGCAGAAAGTGCAATGGCCTGTTTTTCTTTCTTTCCTATATGTTAATTAATCACTTTTCATGCTCAATATGTCTTATTGATATATTATAGCTTTACTAATGGTTTGCCATTAATTTTGCCCTGTGTGAAATTTGAGACTTCTTTTGAGGCATCTGTAACATAAAACAACCAAGCAAATTTGCATGTAGTAAAACTCATTTCATAAATTATCTCTCAGGAAGGCAATTAGTTGTTCAGAATTGCTATTTAGGAAGACAGCGAAAGTCAGACTTCTGTTTTTATATCATGTTTCATGTCTTCAAAATTTTGCTTTGGGGAATGGTAAGGTACAAAATGTAACCACATCAAACAGTATTAAAATGTAATACTGTAAAATGTAATGCACAGAAGCTTCTGCACATGCGCAGAGCGTTATTTGATGATGTCCGGGTGGGTGGACGGAGCCTCCCGCCGCTGCTGCTACCAGTTCGCACAAACCAGGGCGAACCGGTAGCAACCCCCATTGGTTCACTGGCAAGAAAAGCTACATCTAAGGTATCATAATATTATATTTATTTGTTGGGAAAAGGGGTTGTCCTGCATCCCCCTGTCCTTTAAATAATTACCAGGAGATCGAGGATGTATTAGCCATTCAAGGCAAAGTAGGCTAGGAAGCTGGTGCTATGTAGATCAGTAGTAGTTTTTATTATTATAAAGCTATAGTAACAGACTCTTGCAAATCTGAAAGTGTTCCCCCTTCTCTCTCATTTGTATGAAGTAGGTTGAGACTTGTCTGAGTTGTTTACTCATGCCAGTTCCTTGACCCAGTCTCAAGGCCCAGTTGGTAGGAGCTCTTCCTCCTTTCAAAACCATTCCCTCTGCATTCTACTGGATGTCATGTTCAAAATGTGATACTTGGACAGAAGTATCGGCGGAAGATAGGCAGAACAATAAGCATGACTGTTGATTTAAAAACAGAAACAGAAACAATGTATCTGTTATATTAATTCTTCATAGAATGTTAGTGTTAAATAAAATTTCAGTTTATTACTTTATAATCTACCGATCCTCTGATTAAATGAGAATTGGAATACAATAACCTCTTACCCAAGCCAATTGAATTATATCCCTCCCCCCCCTTTTTTTTGTAAATCCCAAAAAAGGGATTAAATGTCTTTTGGAAAGACATCTAAGGATTTTTAATCTTCCAGAATGCTTTAACAAGTACAGATGATATAAGAGTAAAAACTCTATATTAAAAAAAAAAGCTCCATTATTTCTGTAAGTCAAGGAAACAAACAGATTTTCATATCTGGAGAGAAAAAAGGGAAATCCTCATAAAGAAAAGCAAAAAAAGAAAGAAAAAGGTTCAAACTATAACAACATACAGAAAGAATGTACTGAAAATATTCTACAAAAAACTTCAAGTCATGGTGGCCCCTCTCCCTCAAAATATTAGCTACCCCCCCCAAAAAAAACTGCTTTTTTCCTTCAGCTGATCACACCTGACAAAATTATCACATCCTCAGATTTAAAAACTTCACCTCAGTATCAAAAAATGAATAGAAAATGTTTAAAATCCCCTTTTGACTTGCTGTCAAATGAGCTCCATTGAACATCTTTACAAATCTCTGGAGGCAAAAAGCACCTTTGAGTCTGGAGGCAAATCTGTAAAAATAATGATCTTGGCATTCTATTTTAGGTATCTCCTTGTTGAGCTAAATGCAGTGTTGTGGATTTAATAAGACAAACACAACTTTTGGATTAATCAGATACAATTTGTATATTGCGCAATAGGTTCAAAGCTCTGTACATGAAGCGTTTAACAAAGACAGAAATTAGGTACAATGGTTTTATACCCTTCTAGACAAAGGATTCTGTTAACTCAGCAATTTATGTGATCATATACATTTGTCATTTTTAATTGACACTTCCTAATTACTGTTTCATTTTATTCTTTGCCAACAGTTATAATTCTTTTTGTAGATTACTGAAGCATAGACTCAAATCATCTTCTGATGTTAGACAACTTTTAACTCATGTGGATCCCCTTGACCTAACCAACCTTTAAGCTGTATGTCATTAGAATGTTCCTTTCTTCTGACAACTTAGAGGCCTTCTAGAGGTACCAAAAGGATTTTGGCTGAGTTTGTACTTTTTCTAACCGGATGCATTGCTTTTTAGAATAGAGTGAATAGAAAGTTATCCAGTGGTCATCTATCAGAGCCCGCTTCATTTACATTATTCCCCCCTCTGAAAATTTTTCAATGCAGAAACTTTCACTATTTTCATATAAGTTTAACTTCTGAGTATACAAGGTTCCAATAAACAAATCTACCATATATAGGGTCTAACAAAATATAATTAATAAAAGTAAAGGATAGGTAGTTCTTGGTTGTTTTTTTACTCTCTTAATTCTTGGGGAGATTCTCTACCTCTTTCTACAGGTTCCATTTCCTCATATGGGTCTGCCTCAGAATCTTTATGTTCTTCCACAGGATAGGGACCAAGTTGATTAAGAAAATGTTCTGTCAAAGCTAGTTCCTTTTCAACTTGAATCTCCTTTACTGCTCTTATTGATAGCTGTTTCAGCATAGGGATTGCACAAGGAATAAAAGCTAGGCCTGCCACAGCCATATTAATCCACCCGGATCCAGGCAACCAAGAAAACCACATATCAGTTGTTTATAACCTCTGACCTATCTTGGAAGCCCTATCCTGCAATTCCTTGGCAATTTCTCTGACCACACCTGATTCGTTACATGTTCCTGTCCAGTTTGTTGGTAAACACAAATATGCATCCTTTCCACATAAGATGATTTATGGAAAAGGCATGCACTCAGTAGTTCCTTGCATTAGTCCAGACCCCTAAGTCCCTGCCACAAACATTCCTGCCAGTGGTTGCAATGGGACTTCCAGTGAGGAGTCCTTCTGTTTATCTCTGAGAATTGGTCCTTCAAAAACATATCAAGAGGTAGTATTTCCAGGTGGAAAAAGGATACATAAACCTGATTTGGACTTTAAGTTGAACCAGAACGGAAATCCTGGAGGTTGAAATGGTCTTGGACAGATTCCATCCACCCCACTTTCCCTTCTTAAAGTTTATTTCTGGTAGCCTTTGTTCTAACCCAGAGTTGTGGTTTGACAGGAACAGCATGATAAGATGCAGGGCTAGCAGATAAATATAAGCAGCATTTCTGACCTAGGGTAGGGTCATACTGTTTAACAAGATCTTGACTTTATTCCAAAATCCGTGATATATAGTCTCCTCTATGCAATTGTTGTAGAGGCCCATTTTCCTTATCTATTCCCCCCTCAGCTGGGAATGTCAATAGTGCAACCTTAGGTGGTGGAGTTGACTTAGGTCTAAAGTAAGGACCCCGTGCATAGGCAATGCGTTTTTGGCGGGAGCGAACTTGACCTAAAGTGTCTCTACTTGGGGAATCAATGTTCATCTTATGTTCACTTGAGAGTCCTAGTGCAAATAATGTCCAAAGCCATAAACAAATCATAATCAACTATGGTGTGAAGCTCACTACATCAGGGAAAGGGTTAGTGGTGTGTGTGATTTGGGAAACAGGAGTAGCAATAAAAATCCTAGGTCTACCACAAAACCATTCCTTATATATGTAAAACAAGAGTATTAGTAAGGCTAGAAAAGCAACTACCCACAGAACCCACACCCAAACTCCCTCTAACATTAGTATGTGTAAGAAAGTGTTATATTACAGCTAATAATATGTATATGTACAATGTGAAGGCAGTTGTCCTCTTTACAAATCTTCCGCCGTGCGCTGGGAATCAGCTTCCGGAGTGATTCAGCAAGGCTGATGATCACCACCGTGCGTTGAGAGTTCATTCCTGGTAGAACTCAGCAGGGTGTATTCTTCTTAAAGAATACACCCTGCTTTCCACTCCAATGGCCTGTCAGTTTTTTTTTTTTTTTTTAACCTGGTATCAGTCTCATCCAGTGGATCCAGGATCGTCCTCCTAAGATCTTAAAAGCACAATTACAAAACCAATACATCTGGGCGAATGCACAAAGGAATCTGAGCAGTTGTAGTCCTTTTCAGTTGGGAAACAGCATAGGCAACCACTGAATCCTAAGAAAGAAAAAATACAAAAATAGTCCAGATGATGAAGAACGCTATTCCCACTGGTAGCTGCCTACCAGTCCCTTGGATCCTTTGGATCATCAACTTCACTGGACCTTCTTGATGAGATTGGGCCCGTTCACTTGGGGTCTAACTTCCGTCCAGTTTGGATTAACATCCAATCATCGTGGTGGAATTTGTGGACTGGAAACTTCAAAGGTGGTGTTTGGGCTAATAGTCCTTGTTTCCTAAAAACTTCAAAATATCTGGACAGGTTATACACATATTGTTTCAATACTTTGTCTCTGGTTTCCAGGGAATTAATGCATATGCTTCCTGTAGTGAAAACTACTCCAAACAACAGTTCATATGATGATAATCTGTCTAGGTTGGGTAAAACTCTTGACACCACTGTTGCTGTAGCATTACTGCAGATAAAAGCTGCAACCCACACTGTGAGGTGGTTCACTATGACTAATAAATATTTTACACTCCCCACTTTTGGTAATTCACATGAATACATTGAAATGGTTTTAAAGCTGGTGGTACCTCTTACCCATCTGTTGTTTTTTGACAGCATGTTTATTCACCTTTTTACAAACCAAACATTTGTTTATAATTGGTGTTACTAAAGGATATATCCCAATACAACCATAGCTTCGTTTAAAAGTTCATCTACAATAGCTTGAAGTCCCCAATGACTCCACCCATATTTTGCCAAATGATGTCCAGAGACTAAGGGTTACAATGCATTAAGCAATAGCCGTCATAAAGTCAGCTTATTGCCACCCACAAACTGGGTTCTCAATTCACCTACCTTAGAAAGGATGGAAGGCTGAGTCAACCTTGAGCCTGGTGAGATTCGAATTTACAGTAATTGCAGACAGCTGGTGTTAAATTACAATGCATTTGTCTACTGAGCTATCCAGGCTCCCTGTCCATAGAGCTTAATTTAATGAATACAATTCAAAGGTTTGAGCAGTCTAATTTCGAGGCAATTTGTCTCCAGGGGGTGTCCCTCCAAATCAGGTCTTATTTTTGTATGTAAACCAATTATTTCAACACCATAATGTTCACATCCAAGGTGATCCATTGATCTAGTGTTGGCTAAGAACTGTGCTTGATTCAAATTGTGATCTGTAAGTAAAATCAAATCTGTCTGCTGCATTAAAATTGTTTCATTTTTGTTTAGAATCTTGAATCAGATAATCACCAGTGAAGGATAGTTCTGACTTGATGTGGGGTGCTTACAATAAGGGCTTCCCCAAAGGTCAATTTCCTACTTTCTGAGCCAACACCCCTCGTGCAATTCAATTTTTGTGTGTGTGTGTGTGCCTACAAAGAGACCGAATGGCTTTTCCAAATTTGGCAAACCCAATACAGGAGCCCTGGTTAAAGCCTGTTTCAAATTTTCAAGGCTTCCTCTTTCATGTCCCTCCCATTTCAAACTCCAAGGTCCAGATTCAATTAATTTTGCATAGAATTATCTTAATTCTTGCTTGTTTATAGATGGAGGCAGAGATGCCACCCCTCCTTTCTATCAGGAGTGAATTTTTTACTACTCCTGTGGGGGGGGGGGGAGTCTTTCCCTTTAAAGATTGCTGAAAGGCAGAGCTTTCCCTTCCTGAATTCAAAACTCCTGGAATCAGTTTATTGTTCCTAGTAAGGCAAGCAAGAAACAAACACATCTTTTATTCTTCTTTTGTTGTGGAAAATAAGGTGGCGTCTCAGTTTCTTAATGGCCCATTGGTAAAGGTGGGGGCTGAACTCTGCCTGAGTTTCTGCTTATTTTCTTTAGGGGAATTTCCCTGCTCTTTTAATATTGAGCTTCTCAAATCTTCCAACACTCCCTTCACTGATTAAGCT